ACCGCGCGAAATGCCTCTTTGGCGTTTCGAACCTAAACTTCCTCGGCTACGAACTATCGGAAAACGGCATCGCCCCGCAGGACAGCCGTCTAGAAGCCCTCCGGAAATATCCAACACCGAGCACTGTTCGCCAGCTTCAGGAATTTCTCGGATTAGTAAACTTTTACCACAGGTTCGTCCCCAACTTCTCAAGGATCGCAGCACCGTTGTACGACCTCCTGACGCCACTCTCTTCACGTCGCCAAGGCCTCGCGCGCCGACAAGACGAAAAGATCGAATGGTCAACTAGCTGCCAAGGATCCTTCCAACGCCTCATCGAAGCTCTCTGCCGCAAGGTAACACTTTCCTTCCCATCCCCCACGGCTTCCACGCGACTTGTAACGGACGCTTCCGACGTCGCAGTGGGCGGAGTGCTAGAGCAACGAAGCGAGAACGGGTTGTGGCAACCCATCGGTTTCTTCAGCCGCCGTCTGAAGGGCCCAGAACTGAAGTACTCGACGTATGACCGCGAACTCTTGGCCATCTTCCTCTCGGTCAAGAAGTTCCACCACTTGATCTGTGGAATTCCGTCAAGCAGTTTCTTCGTTCTGACCGACCACAAGCCACTCACGTTCGCCTTCTCGAAATCCCCGGCCCTTCAACTGAAGGAAAACTGCAGAGCTTCCAGGATGCTCCGGGACATCAGCGAGCTGACAACGGATTTCAGACACATCTCCGGGATCGCCAACCCAGTGGCGGACGCTCTATCTCGGAACGTGTCGTCAGCAACGACACTGCTTGACCTGAACCAAGCAATCACCGAAGCGCAGCAGCGCGAAGGAATGAGGCCGGATCCGTTCGAGACATGGCCGCCTCATTGGAGCGTCGTCCAAGACAACGGTCGCGACATCGTTGTCGACACGCGGTCAAGGTTGCGGAGACCCGTAGTGCCCCCTTCCTTGGCCCGTGTCGTGTTCGACTCTCTGCACGGCTTGGCGCACCCAGGAGTAAAAGCTACCCGCAAGCTCATAAGCCAACGCTACGTGTGGCCATCCATGAGCCGGGACATCGCCGACTGGGTCAAAACGTGCTCCCAATGCCAGCTAGCGAAGATTCAGAAGCACAACGTTACGCCATTTACTCCATTCTCGACATCTCCATCAGCTAAGTTCAGCGAGCTTCACGTCGACGTGGTGGGGCCGTTGCCTCCTAGCAACGAGCACCGATACCTGCTAACGGTCGTCGACAGGTTCTCCCGCTGGCCAGAGGCATTCCCAATGACAAACGTCGAA